ATGAGACAAGTAACTGTAAAAACAACCAACCCACCCACCCCACACACAAAGAAAAGCCCAAGAAAACCCCAAGAACTTGCCAAATTAAGTAAACCCCTGAAAACCAGGCTTTGAAGCATTTCAGAAGTAATTAAAATACATGAGAAATCAGTCCTTCTGCCTTCAACGAACTGCCTCAAGCTTCTCCTTTCTGTGCTTAAAAATCAGCATTTCAGTGACTCACGCTGTAGACAGGTAGGAACTTTGCTGCCCAGCTCAGCCACCAGTGCCCCTAAAGGTCCCCAAGAAAAGAGGATCGAGGGGGTCCTGGGTGGGCTCTGGATGGATTTAGGGGGTCCTTGGGGGTCTCTGGGGTGGTCCTGGCACCTTTAGGGTGAGCTGGAAGCCCATTGAGGGGGAGGTGCCCTACCAAAACCCCCCAGAGCAGGTTGACACAGGGGAACACAGGGGGGGTCCCCATTCCCGATCCATTCTGGGGCCGGTTTTGCCCTCCCCAACCTCAGCTCCTCCCTGCATCACATCTCTCATATGACATCACATCCTCCTCTGTGACATCACATCTTCTCTATGATGTCGCATCCATCCTATGATATCACACCTCTCCCGTGACATCACAGCTCCACTGTGACATCACATTCTCCCTTTGACATCACATCTTCCTCTAGGACATCACATCCTCTTCTGTGACATCGCATCTCTCCTATGACACCACATCCTCCTCTGTGACGTCGCATGTCTCCTATGACATCATATCCTCCTAGGTGACATCACAGCTGCCCATGACATCACATCCTCTTCTGTGACATCACATCCTCCTCTCTGAAATCACAGCTCCGCTGTGAAATCACATGTCTCCTATGACATCACATCCTCCCTGGTGACATCACATCCTCCTCTATGACATCACAGCTCCCGTGTGACATCACATCCTCCTCTCTAACATCACATGTGCTCTGTGACATCACATCCTCCTCTGTGACATCACAGCTCTCCTATAAAATCACAGCTCTCCTGTGACATCACATCCTCCTCTGTGATATCACATCCTCCTCTGCGACATCACAGCTCTCCTATGACATCACAGCTCCCCTGTGACATCACCTCCTCCTCTGTGACATCTCCTCCTCCTCAGTGACATCTCATGTCTCCTATGACATCACATCCTCTTCTATGACATCACAGCTCCCCTGTAACATCACATCCTTCTCTGTGACATCACAGCTCTCCTATGACATCACAGCCCTCCTGTTACATAACATCCACTTCTCTGACATCACAGCTCTCCTATGACATCACATCTTCCCCCTCTGACAGCACAGCTCTCCTATGACATCAAATCCTCCTCTCTGACGTAGCATAACTCCTATGACATGACATTCTCTGTGTGACATCACAACTTTCTATGACATCACAGCCCCCTCTGTGACATCACACCCTCCTCTTTGACATCACATGTCTTCTGTGACATCACATCCTCCCCTGTGACATCACATCCTTCTCTATGACATCGCATCCTCGTCTGTGGCATCACAGCTCCCCTATGACATCACATCGTTCTCTGTGACATCACAGCTCCCTGTGGCATCACCTCATCCTCTGTGACATCGCATGTCTCCTATGCCATCACATCCTCCTCTCTGACATCACATCCTCCCCTGTGACATCACATCCTCCCCTGTGACATCACATCCTCCTCTGTAACATCAGAGCTCCCGTGTGACTTCACATCCTCCTCTCTTACAGCAAATGTCCTCAGTGACCTCACATCCTCCTCTGTGACATCGCATGTCTCATATGACATCACATCCTCCTCTCTGACATCACATTCTCCTCTGTGATATCACAGCTCTCTATGACATCACAGTTCTCCTATGTCATCACATCCTCCTCTGTGACATCACAGCCTCTCCTGTGACATCACATCCTCCTCTCTGGAATCGGAGCGCCCCTGTGACATCACGTGTCTCTTATGATATCACATCCTCTCCGTTGATATCACATCCTCCTCTGTGACATCCCATGTCTCCTATGACATCACATCCTCCTTCGTGACATCACAGCACTCCTATGACATCACAATCTCCTCTGTGTCATCACATCCTCCCCCCGTGACAGTACAGCTCTTCTATGACATCACATCCTCCTCTCTGACATCACATCCTCCTCTGTGACATCCCATGTCTCCTATGACATCACATCCTCCTTCGTGACATCACAGCACTCCTATGACATCACAATCTCCTCTGTGTCATCACATCCTCCCCCCGTGACAGTACAGCTCTTCTATGACATCACATCCTCCTCTCTGACATCACATCGTCCCCTGTGACATCACATCCTCCTCTGTGACATC